CCCGCCCCCAGCCCCAATGACATGGATTAATTGAAGGAAAAGAACACTGCTTTTTTTTAAATTTGTAATTTCAAGGGGAGAGACCAAAATATATATGCTTACGTCTTGCCTTTCTAAAATATTTCACTGTGCAGGAGTGTTTGGGATTAGCAAATTCAGAAACAAATTGATATTTTCAAACTATTCAGAAACTGTCTTTTTTATGTGCATGCATGCACATGTATATGCAGGTGCTTGTGTGTCTGTGGGGGTGTGTGTGTATGTGCAAGCCATATTGCAGAAATGACAACCGTGGGTTTTATTTCTCAAGAGCCAAATATCTTGTTTTTTGAGACAGAGTCTCCTTCTGGCCTGGAGCTGGACAGTAGTCTAGGTGTGCTGGCCAGTGAGCCCCAGAGATTTGTCTGTTTATGGCACCTGACTGCTGGGTTTACAAGAGCATGCCACCATGCCCAGCTATTTTATGTGTATTTTAGGTTTGAACTGAGTTTTCTATGCTTGCCAGGCACACAGTTTACCAACTAAGCTATCTGTACAGTCCCCCAAAGTATCATTTTATGATACTTCATTCTTAGGTGTCAAATGTATTCATATATATATATATGTATTCATATATATATATGAACTCATTTACTACTTCTCAAGTGTAGTGACCCAACAAGAAATAGCTTTCTGCTATAATTTGGATTTGAACTCTCCCTCAAGGGATCATGTGTCTGAGCATTTAATTCCCAGCTTGAGGTGCTAATTTGGGAGGCTGAGGAACATTTAGGAGGCAAGGCCTAGCTGGAAGAAGTAGATTTCTGAGGCTCATGCCTTGAGGTTTGTAGCCATCTTCCTGTTCCTTCTCTGCTTCCTGACTGACTTGAAAGATGAAGTCAGCTATTGTACTCTCCCACTAGGAAGCTGCCCACCGTCATGCCTTCTTTGCCGTGATAGACTGTATTAGCTCAAACTGCGAGCCAAAATGAATATTTCCTCATGTAAATTGCTTTCTTAGGTAGTTGATCACATCTAAGAGAAAAGTAACTAACTGAATTTGATGTTCTGTCATTATAATAAACACTATAACCAAAAGCAACTTGGGGAGAAAAGGATTTATTTCACTTTATAACTCCCAGGTCACAATCCATCACTGAAAGAAGTCAGAGAAGGGACTGAAGGCAGGGACCTGGAGGCAGGAACTGAAGCAGAGATCACTGGCTCGCTTCTTCTGGCTTGCTCAGCTACTTTTCTTATATAGCCCAAGTTCACTTGCCTAGAGATATCACCACCCTCAGTGGGCTGGACCCTCCTACATCAATTAGGCATCTAGAAAAGGGCTGACAGGCCAACTTAATGGAGGAAATTCCTTCACTAAAGTTTTCTCTTTCCAGGTGTATTAAGTTAACAACTAAAGCTATCACATGAATATTCTCTCTGTGTTTACTAAGTCTGTTCTTTATGCTTTAAGCTTCTTTGGGGAAACAGAAATGTCTCTGTTATGTGAAATGGGGGGCGATGTTGCAAGCACATGGTAGCAGAACAATCCCCCAACAACCTTAAAACTCGACTCCCTGAAAAGTACTAAGATCAAAAAAGTCAATGATTAGCTCTCAGAATCAGGGATTTGGGGAAGAGATTTTTAAACATAAACATAAGTGTGTCCAGAAAGCATCCACTACGGAAGCACATGATTTCTGCTAAGTTTTCTCTAGGATTTTCTTCTCTGAGTTGGTTCCGTAAATAATTATGTGAAGTTGTGAACTATCAAGGAAATGCCTCCCGCCACCCTTGCTTCCTAGTACACAGACTGCTTCTCAGTTAGGCACTTACCTGCACCTTATTGAATACAAATGTAATGTGTTTTACTATTTCAACCTTTCACTTCATTTTCTCAAGATGGGCTATACTCTTGTGACTTCTAGGATGTTTTGTACACAGTAACAAAAGTTGTGAGTACTGCTCCCTGGGCTAGAGTTTTCTCAGTACATTGAGAGGTGGATTGAAGCCTGTCCCCATTTTCAACTTCGCTCCTGAAGGAATACTAACTAGATTTACATAAAAAGCAGCAATTAACTATTGATAAATTAATGTTTCAGATTTCTAATGTTAACAGCACATATACCAAAGGCTTATATACCTTTAAAGTTGCACAGACTCATAGTAAGTTTCATTTCTCAAGCTGAGTTGCCGACATGGTGATGAAGTCAGTGTTGCTATAATCACAGAATCACAGTTTAACCAGTTATAAAATGACTGGCTCACTCTCCCTCTCTCCTCCATATTTCCCAGTGAAATTGACAGTCCAGGAGTTTGACTGTCTGGTATAAGTCACCAGGAAAAAATAAAGCAAAGAAACAGTTGCTACTTGTTAATTCTCATTCATGCACGACCATGAATATATATTCTGTCTTATAATGAAACAATGTGGGTGGATATACGTCAATTTAAGATGGGAACTTCGTGTTTGCATCAAAATGAGTAAGCTCAAACTGGTGTGTTAACAGATGTATCAATGTTACTCTTCCAGAAAGGGTACTGCACGTCCTCCTACAAAGATCCTTTCCCTATTCATTTTAGCACACCATTGAAGAGCTGCTGTGTTGTAACAACACAGATACAAAAGTAGGATGCATTCATAGAATCCTGACAGTGTTTTGACTCTTGAATCTCAGTGTCATAGGCCTGATGAACAACCTGAAATAAGTTCTGCTTATGAGTCTAGGATTTGATCTGTTTCCTCCATGGTGTCTCCAGTTTTTACTGTGATACAACCCAAAACATACTAAACACCGTTTGTATTTATTAGCAATTCTGGAGTTAATGAATTCTACTATTCTCCTAAGCGTAGTGTTCTAGTTTGTTTCTCTTTTGCTATGATAAAACACTGACCAAAACCAAGTTTGGAAAGGAAATTGTTTATTTTATCTTACTCTTCCAAGGCACAGTCCATATTTAAGGGGAATCAGGACAGGAACTCAAGAGACCGTGGAGGAACACTGCTTACTGGCTTGTTCCTCTGGCCCATGCTCAACATGTTTTCTTATACAACTTAGAACCACCTGTCCAGGGTGGCACCACCCACAGTGGTCTGGGCCCTCCCACATCACTTAACAGTCAAGAAAGTGTCTCAGAGATGTGCCCAATCCCATAGAGGAAATTACCCAGCTGAGGCATATTTACCCTTTGTCAACCTTGGCACACAGATACCACTTTAAACCATAACATTTCTGTTAGTTTTTTGTCCTTAGGATCTCACATTAATATCACAATATAAAGCATAGTACAACTTTAAAAGTCCCACAGTCTCCAAAAATTCAATGACTTAAAAGTTCAATAGCTCTTTAAAATAATCCAAATTCTTTCAACTGTGGACTTCTGTACCATAAAAACATAAGTTTTCAAGAAGGAAGAGTTGGGTGCAAATAAGCAAAGCCAAAGTCCAGCAATGTAGCTCAGTGTCCAATGACTGGGACTCAATCATAATCTTCTGACTCCAAAGAACTTGGCAGCTACACTTCTCTGGCTCTACCATCCACAGCACATACAGCTTATCTTGTAGGCTCAGGCTGGCTTCGCTCCATGCCCACTGCTACCTTTGGTGATCATCCTATGGTCCTGGCATTTTCAGTATCTTGGGGTAACCATTGCAACTGAGCCGCACCTTTATCAATGGCCTCCTGGCCTCTCTGCAGTGACTCCAACCTTGCCAAATGATGCCAAGTCTCAGCTGCTCTCCATGACTCGTTCATGCCTTTAAAAATCATTACCATATGGGAAACTCCTACACATTACCAAGTTTGGCTACCAGCTTGAGATGCAGCCTTGGCCACTGTAGACCAAAACTTCTGTTCTGGCACTGAGGACATACTTCTCAGAATATTTTGCCTTCATGATGCTGGTCTCTCCTTAATCACAGTTGTTTCTTTAGTCCTAGTTGACTAGAAACCACAGATTCTTTATTCAAAATATCGTACAATTGGCCCTGTTCAAATCTTTGATGAAACCTCAAACTTTCCTCTGAAACATCACAAGCTAGGCTTCCATCACCTGCATTTTTCTCACCATTCTTATCTTCTAAGCTCCAACAGAACAGCTCACAAAGCTCTGAGCACTCAACAGCTTTTCCAGCCCAAAGCTCCAAAACACTTCCACAATCCTCCTCAAAAACAATGTGGTCACATCTGTCACAGTAATACCTCACTCAATATCTGTTCTAGCTTACTTCTCTATTGTGATAAATGACTCTGAACAAACTGACTTGGAGAGGAAAGGGTTTGTTCTATCTTACTCTTTCAAGGCACAGTCCATATTTAAGGAAAGTCAGGGCAGGCACTCAAGGCAGGACCCAAAGCAGAGACCATGGAGGAACACTGCTTACTGGCTTGTTCCTCTGGCCCCTACTCAGCCTGATTCCTTATACAACCCAGAACCATCTGCCCAGGATGATACCACAGTGGGCTGGGCCCTCCCATACCACTTAACAACAAAAAACTCTCACAGACATGCCCACAGGCTAATATGATAGAGAAAATTCTCTAGTTGAGGTTTCATCTTCCCAAGTGTGTTAAGGTGACAACAGAAGTCAACCACGACACCCAAAGCCATTTAATTGTTTTTCATCAAAGCTTGATGCTTGCTCTTTATCCATTCAATGGGCTTTACCAACCACCTGCTCTTTTACAGTCTCTTCCCCAAGGAGTTGGGCCATGAACAAGTTATACTCCTTCCTAATGAATAAATTATCTATGGTTGAGATGCCCCAATTGACTGAGAACTGCCAGTACCCCTCATCTCTACCTCTTGTGACATATCAACAACATTTCAATTTGATATAATGCACACCATTTAGGTTCTGAGCAAAGTATAGTACTATATATCCACTTTGATGACGATTGACACAGTGAGAACAGTTCTTTCCATCCTGTGTTCTTTCCCCAAGAAACTGATGTTGATGCCCCAGTTGGTGTCAGGGCCAAACTTCCCAATTACAAACAGAAAAAGGCAGAACAAGGACAATGGGTGCAAATTAGAGAAAGTGTATTTTAATATGCTATAAGGGTTTATCAAATTACCAAAAACATTCAAATACAGATTGCATGACCATCTGTTAAGGAAACATTAAAATGAATTCCTATATTATAAAAGGTTTATGTGTACAGTATCAATGGTGAACAGTTCTTTCTCAATCCCCATTCGAGATGACATAACAGATGTTTTCTCTCTTATTTGAAAGGTCTTAGCTGTAGTGTGAAGGTTTTATAACTGAAAGGTAACACAAGTTAATGGTTTTATGTTTTTAAAAAAGAATTATGTTTTAATTATGTGTATATGGGTGTGTGTGTGTGTGTGTGTGTGTGTGTGTGTGTGTGTGAACGTGCATGTTTGAGAGCAGGTGGCTATGGAGTCCAAAAGATGGTGCCAGATCTCTTAGAGATGGAGTTAAAAACAATGGTGAGCCACCCATTGTGGATGCTTGAAACTGAACTCTGGTCCTCTGAAGGAGCAGTAAGCACTCACAACCACTGAGCCATCCCTTCAGTCCCCAAGGATTTTCCTTCTGTGCTTGAAAATTCATTACTTTTTATATGATTAAATGAAAGTTCAGATAAATGACATTTCAGCAGATGTAGGGGCTATTTGGGAGGAAGAAGGGAAACAGCAAAATGAGGAAAGGGGAATGAGGAAAGGCAGTGAGGAGTGACAATAAAGTAGAAATGTTGAAAATGTCATCGTGAAACCCTTTCTATGTATGATAACCAAAAATTCATAACGAACAATTATGTCTTGTTTTCGAATCAATCATACCCAGTTCTGAACCTTGGCTCAAAGACTAACAAGTAGTGAGGCTTCTCAAAAATGTATTCACCTTCTTAAGATAAAATTTTATCTATAAATAAGGATAAGGAAGATTACCTTGCTATATACATATATATATGTTAGTATGTGCATAGTTATATTGCTTATATAGTACACATGTTGATTTATAGTATTTATTTGATATATACTTAGGTATTTTTCATTTATATCAAAATGTATTTTGTTTCTTTTTTATATGCACATGTGACAAATAGTAATGTCTAAGTTTTATCGCATCTATCTAGCTGGTACTTTCTCACACACCTCACCATAATTCCTCCTTAGTCATCACAATTGTCAATTGAGAGAACTGTTTGTAATAGTCCCCTAATATAGCTAGTAAGGGTCACAATCAGCATTGACTGACATTCAGGCAGCCATGACACTAGATCTCGAGTTAAGCAATGCTGCCAAACTAGAACTTGTGTCCCCTTTATGGAGCCACACCATCACTTTCTGTTCAGTGTTAACACCTGCAAGAACCTGGTTTCAGTCTGTTGACAGTGCTATGAGTGATACTATTTGCCTTCTTTTTCTTGTCCCATACAAATCTTGCTACCTTCACAGTATGCAATCCAGGGAGCTGGCAGTTTGGACTAGCAGTCTAGAGAAAGGTCGCTTTTCTCTCAAATGTATTGCTTTTTTTCAAAATCTTTGCTTCCTTGGGCCTCAGTATTTTCACTGGTAAAATGGAAGTAAAAATGACTGCCTTTCATATGTCTCAGGTATTATCAAGATCAAATGAGCAAGGCTATACAAAGACATTTAAAAAGGACAAAATGCACTGTATGTACAAGTTTTCATTTGGTCATGGCTTTGCATGTCTGTAATCCCAGCACCCAAGGGGCTGAGGCAGAAGGACTGGGAATTTGAGGAAAGCCTATGTTACATACTGACACTATATCTTGAAAGAAAAATAGAAAAAAGTATATATTTTTGTATAATTCTAATTGAACATATAATGTCTTAAATTTTCTTCCAGGCAAGGCTTATGATCAATCCTATTATTTGAAACTATGTCATCTACTCTTAGAAGCATCCATAGCAAAAATGAGTATTGAGAGAACTGTTGTTAGCATTATAATGTTCATAACAGAAATGATGTTATTGGCTGTATGTTAAGAAATATTCAGACTCCAGGGACTTAGAACAAATAAGAACATGGATCCAAATGAGGGCTGCCCCTAGACTGTGGTTTCTCTTGGCTCCTCTCCTCTGCCAGCCCTGTCTTTTTCTCCCTGTATTTATAAGTGTCCCTAGTCCACATAATCTGAGCTGGCATTCTATCCAAAGATGCCGGCTTTGGCATGGTGTCCTCTTTGTAATTTTATTAAGCCTATCAGCCTTCAAATACCCTATGCCACATTCTCAAAAGACACTCTGTAGACAGTTTAATAACCTGATAAATGTCAGACAACTAAGATATTTCTGCTACTGAGCTGAACTGAGTTAAGGTCTCGTGGGAGACCTGACTTTGATGTCATCATATCTTAATGACATCTGGCATGATTAGAACCTTCAGAACTTTCCTTAGAGGTAAGAAATGGAAAGATCACAATTGGGCCAGCAGACTCTTGTATGCCTTAAAATCTAGGTTAAAAATTGATTAATTGTCAACACTTAAAAATATGAAGTTATAAAGTTCCAGCTTTCTGAATTCTGTTCAAATGTCAGGCCACTGGTATGCAGCAAGGCTGGGTCTTGCATAACTGAGGAACAATTGGCTCTTTCAAAGAGCAGGCTATGCTCAGGGGGCCAGGGCCTTACCTGTTGCATTTCATATATTTATGCCATCTCTATGAACCCTATAGGATCTGGGTTTGTGAACTCTTGTTGAATACACAGAGCTAATTTCATTAAATCTTATCTTACAACCAGTTAGTCATGGGCAAAATCATGGACAGATGGTTTACAGAGAACATATGTTGTTGATCCGTTTCTCTTATTTCATTAACTGTTTTGCCAGCATTTTGAACAGTCTCATCATGTGTCACAACCCATAAGTGGAGCATCAGTTTATAAGGAGATAATCTAGAGTTTAGTTCAACTGTTTGTTTTCAAATGCCAAATGAAAGCTGCTTTGAGGTTTGATCTGCAGCTCAAGGTAGAATTTTGCCAACTCAGTAGATGAGGTTCTATTCACACTCCAAATGCTGTCCCTGGTATTCCTGTGATATCAGAGTATCAGGAAGGGCAGCTCTGGCAACATTAATTTCCAGAGAGTGAAAGGCTTCCCATAAAATTTTACTATGAGAGATATATCAGCGCCAGGAAGAAGGGGCCCTGGAGAAGGTAGCACTTTAAAGTTTCTAGAGTTTTCTGAAGACTTCAGAACTCCCTTCCCTCATTATCTATGCCAAAAAGGAAGAATAAGTTTTCATGAATATACTCATGGAAAAAAATGGAACCATTAGTAGCAAGGGGAAATTTAATAAAAAGGAGTATAATGTATATTGTTTAGAAACAATTCTTTCATTTTGCCTTCCGAGTTCCCCTTTCATTAAATTAGAGTGTTGAATAGGGATCAGAGACAAAATTCCACAGGAAAGACCCAAGATACCTGTTGCCAAATTTTAGTCAAAGCAGTAGATCAGAAGTACAGACAAGTTTTCAGGATCCCACATTGTCAGGAACAGATCACTAAATTAGAAACTCCCACAGGAGGTTTAAAGTTAAATTATTTCAAATATGTCTCTTCTGTAGCAGGTGCCTAATGAAATTAGTTTTGAGAAAGATATCTTGACATTATTCACAGAAGTCCTTCCTATATATTTATAAACTTTGAGCAAGGTCAAGTTAGCTCAATTATCACACAATCAACCTATTCATCACCAATTATTCAATTACCCACCGTGTATGGGGCTCTGGGGAGAGCAAACAAAGCAAAGGTCAACAGCATATCCATGTAGTCATATACAAACACCTCCTGCCTGACTAGTGGTTTCAATTCTCTCTCAGGATGCAATTCATGTGATGAGCTATTGGACCAATTGTGTATAAAAATGTCACAATTGACGCAGAAGAGCATGGTTGAGGGAAGCTCCTAATCTTATTTTAGCAAATGCAGTGTAATTAGGAAGAAAAGGTGGATAAAAATAACTGCTAGTAGTTACAGGAAAAGAGTGATTTTGTAGCATAAGGAAAGTTACTTTTTCTTCTTGACAAACTCACAGATGAAATACATGGTAAGATGGCACTCTGTGTCATTCCACCTACCAGAGCTCAGCATCTCCACACAGTCCTCATGACCATAGGGGTCACTGGGCTCCCCCTCATTCCAGTTGCTGTAGTTCTGCAATGGAGTGTTGTCTGTGAACACATACTGCCCCTCCCGCTCAAGGTCATTCACCCCAATGAACACCCGAAAGAAGCCGCTTTTGGCAACGTAGTCAGCAATAAGGGTGTTGACAGCCTCATCTTTAGGCATGGCTAGCATTCCTCCCCGGATCCTGCAGTGAGTCAGGGATTCCCTGTAGTTCTTCTCCTCCTGCACGATGTAGTAGAATTTCTCTTCGGTTTCCCTAATCTCTGCTATAACTGCAGAGAGGAAGGGAAGAGTATCATTATACATCTCAAAACAAGAAAAGGCAAGTACATATATAGTTTCCTCATTTCAATTCAGTTATTCAGCATTCAAGAATTATTTTTCAGATCATTATAAGCTAGTCACTCATTTAATTTCTTTTGTGTCTTTCTGCTGATCAAGTGGAGAGTGAAAGTCTATCATTTCTCCACTCTTCCTTACCTCTTCAACTTCCAACATAGCTGTCTGTTGACAAAGACTTGTTACTATGAACTGCTACCTAGATCATCTCATACCATTTTTTCCTAAGCTAGGTTATGTTTTACCTACACTTGTCTCAAGAGTGTGCTCTCCTCTCCCATAGCCACACCTTCAGGTCTGGAAAGTCTTCTTCTTCTCTACTTGGAAAATACCTGCTCATCCTTAGATATCAATGAAATGAGTTTTTCTATATGAAGTTTCCCAATGTCCCTCTGTGGACATAGGGTCTTCTGTGTTCCCCCCATGTGCTGTTGTCCCTTCCACTTCTTCCTTTACAACATAGCACATTCTAATCTAAGTGTTGGCCTTTGTATATCTTCCACTGAACTGAGACTCCCTTGAGGATAGTATTCGTGTCTTTGACACTCTTCAACCTCAGTGAGTAGAAGATTCCAAGAAATGCCAAATGCGTATCAAAGCTAAATTCAATGGTCATTGTAGAAATAATATACAAGTTTATCAAAGGTAAAATCACTAGTCAATATATATGCATAATACAGAAGTTGGTCAAGTTTCTAGAATGTGAATATGCCCAGTGATTACGATTATACAAACTTCTTCATGGCTGTAAGGGAGACGTGGCTAGTGACTGTTCAAGACAGAACTAGAAATTGAAAATCATTTCAACTCCTAACATGGCCTATGTGCTTTGGGTTTCAAGTGCATCTCCATATTCATTTTAGGGTCTTTAACTTCACAAAGAAATCTGTGGCCACTGAAATGTTATATTTTTGGGTTGGGTGTATTCATGACAGTCTGAATATATGATCTTAAATTGTTTTTAAGATTTATTTTAATTTATATCTATATGTATGTGTCTGTGTGTGTGTGTGTGTGTGACACATGTGCAGGTGCTCACAGAGGTCAGAAGAGGTTATTGGAGCCTCTGGATATGAGTTACAGACAGTTGGGAGAAGCCTGACATGGGATCTAGGAACTTAACTGGGGTCCTCTGGAAGAGCAACAAGTGCTTTTAACCAGTGAGCCATCTCTCCAGTCCTGAGATACAGAATCTTAAGTATGACTTACAACCAGATCTTAAAACCAATTAAGTTGGTTAATTAATGCAAAGTCTTTCCTATGCCTCTAGTACCACAGATGACTATGAACACAAGATGGCATGTGTGTTCTTCCAATAATGTGTAAGACACGTATCTGGATCACACTAATTAGATGAAAGCACAAGACAAAATCAACCATAATAGTCACCACAACACTTCCTTCAATAGCACTGTCTTAGAAGAGCCCTTACCGACTTAAGGACTTTATTGCTCACTATTAGGGAAAATGGACACGTGACAACAAAAATGACTAAGTTGCTAAATTTGGGGAAACGCTTCAGTCCTGTACTGATTTTTATTGTTGGGAGAGGAGTTAGGAAAACCTATATTCAAATTCCTACTCCAGTGGTTGTATCGGTCAAGGCATTCTCCAAGCTTCTGTGGACTCACAGTACCTAGAACATAGCAATTATAAATGCTCAATGCTACGTTGCCAGTAGTTCAAGGAAGGAACTATTACTGTAACCCTTGTTTTCTGAGATGTTTCTCTTTGACTCTTCTCCCGTTTTGTTCTTATGGAACAGCTTGCCTTGTGACACACAGATGCATGAATCTGTTTAGTGGACTTAAAACTCCTGGAATCTTAGAGGATAATTTAACCTTTAAACTGTGACTCTTTGTTTGACCCAAGGTATTTCCTGCTGAGAAAGGTAGTGTTGAAAGACCAAATTAGCAGATATACAGAACAAAACAAAATAGTAAAGCTGGTGTGGTGGCACATGCCTTTAATCACAGTACTTGTGAGGCAGAGCAGTCTTAGTCTCTGTGAGATTGAGGCCAACCTGGTCAATATAGTGAGTTCTAGGCCAGATGGGGTTACAGGGAGATCCTGTCTCAACAACAACAACAAAAATCAGTGAATGTGTTTACCATTCTTGACGAACTTCATAGATGTTTTGAGTCGAGCAACACTAATATCCAGTTGTCCAACCACTTTCCGGTATCTTCCACAATCACAGACAGTACCTTATGGATGACAAAACTGTGAATTCATGTTGAACCGCATGCAGGCCAGGTGGAAAGAGCATTTCCTCTCTTCTCAATGTTTACTTCCATTTTCCAGTCTGGTTACAATTCTCTGTGACCTGCTATACATTTAACTTTTCATTTAAAGCAAAGTTTAAAGCAAAGTTTCCAGTTTATATTATCTTTAACAATTAATAAAGCGTCTAACTAAAATGTTTCGAGTAAGTTAAAAAAAATCTAAATTAGAGTTTTAAAAGAGTAAGTGAGGCAAACCACTGCTCACGACACTGTGCGCAATTTGGCATTTTTGTTGAGTACAGAAATGATCTGCTTAATTCCAGAATACATTTTTTTTACAGCTTCCTTAAAGCATATTTGTAGCCAGGCTTCTTTTCTGTTACTGCTTTATTCACGAGCTCACACAGCTCTCCCAAGATAGAAGAAACTTTTCATGATTCAATCAAATGTTAGCTCTGATTATCCAATGTGCAGTACAGCTGGCAAGTTTCAAAGACTAAGTTTAAATATTGTAAATAGATGCAGTTTAAATTTTAAAAGCCAGCTGTCCAGGTTGTAGACTATCATTTTACTTTGTGACTCACCGCGCTTTGCTCACCTATCTTTCTAACTACCAAGTGTTATTATAGTGAGAAAAACAATGGTAAAGTCAAATGATCCTCTTTTTCTACTTAATGGTGATTTCATATAAAGATTTTCATTTGTTTAGTACTTGAGAGCATGAAAAGTCAAAATAATTTTATGAATCAAAGGGAAAACATATTCTGTGATTTAACTGATCCAGGCACACAGATAAACATGAGGAACATAAGATGGTTCTTTGAATTGGTTTTCACTAGACTGATGGTAATGCAAACAACTGGAATCTATGCCAAACAATCTACTTTCCATCCTCCCATAAGACACTACACGTTGAGTGCTCTAAGGACTCCCCCTCCCTGCTGGCACAGAGCAGACTCCATAGCCAGGCAGAATCAGGCACTAGTGGCCAACCAAGCCATGGTTGCTGAGGCAGGTATTGGTGTGGGCTTCCCTCTAGGTCCTAGACATTGAGGCCTACTCCATGATAGGCTGGGTATGCATCCCACTGTGAGCATGACCTGGATGGAATGTGCCCCCATGTCCTCCTCAGGGCTTGGAAAGTCACCAGTGGACAGACGGGAAAGCTCCCTTCCTCCCTGTCCTCCAGCCAGTGTAAATAAAGCTGAATGCACAGCAAGGAGGGTTTTTTTTTTTTTTTTCTTCAAAAATAATTTACTTTTGAGTTGAAGACGTTGGAAAAAGTGTCAGAAGTCAAGGAAAACAAATCGAGCATGCCGTACCTGCCTTGCCTTTTCCTCCAGGGATCCCAACCGAACCCTTTGCCCCTTTGTCACCTGAGCAGAATCAGTGAAAAAGCACAAGGAAATAAAATGTAAGTCATTTCAAACCGAAAACAGACTGTACCTCCAAAATCAAAGGAAACTGTTTTTCAAATTTTATTTCCATTTTCTCCAACGCACATCCTTTGGCTTTTATGAATCATTTGCTTCCAAGTTGTTTCAGCAGACACAATCAGGTGAGCCATAATTTTAGTTGATCATTGAATTTTTTGCAGGAAGTATAAGGAACATTTGAATTTGTGGGACTTGTTCCACTTATAATGTGGCCTTCTCAACGAGGTAACACAATGCTCAGCATGGTTTCAATTTTAAAAACATGGGCTGGAGAAAGGACCCAGCAATTTAAGGCTGCTTACTGCTTTCGCAGAGGACCCAGGTTCAATTCCCAGCGCCCACATGGTGGCTCAAAATCACCTGCAACCCAGTTCCAGGGTATGTGATGCTCTCTTCTGACTCCTACTTGCATGTGGTGCATATTCATACATGCAGGCCTAAGCACATAGACATAAAATAAATAGATATTTAGAAATAAAATAAATATACCATTGCTTTGCAAATAAATCTGAATTCAGTGGTTGGCACACTCCAGTGCCTGTGTTTGCTACGCTCCAAGTTATTCTATGTGGCTGTGCCCTTGGCACTAAAAATTTTATTTATTATCTTTATTATTTTATGTGTATGAGTATATTGCCTGTATATACGAAAGTGTTGTAAAATGCTCTTGAAGGGCAGAAGAAGGTGTCACATCCTCTGGAACTGGAGTTACGGTTGGTTGTTAGCCACCATCTGAGTGTTGGGAACTGAACTGCAAGAGCAGCCAGTGCTCTTAACCACTGAGCCATCTCTCCAGCCCCCACCTTTGGCTTTTAAAAAAATATTTTTTTCAATTTAATTCAATAAATATTTACCATTTACTTTGTAAAAGACTGAAGGCTAGCTAGGTACTCAGGGAGAAGATACAGAAGGACAAAATTAAACCTTTGATTTTGAGGAATTTGCAGTTTTTAGGAGATGTGATGTATGCAAATATCTGCACAGCAAATTCCTGTCAAATGTACTATACTGAAATGTCAACCTTGATATTTTTCCTACCTGTTCTTCCATCCATATGGCCATTATCTTACCTGGTCAGAGTCCTCCAAAACATAATTCTCAAAGAATCAGAATTTTTGAAATAAAAAGAAAAAAAAAATGCTGCTTTATTTTTAAACTTCAAAATAACTCCTGAAGCTCAGATCAGAAACAATAATTGAAAGGAAAAGCTTTTGGTTTACAAGAAAAAAATGTTTGACTGAAGTTCTTGAAGATTAAAAGGGAAGACCCTGAGAGGAGTGAAATAAAGTTTCATGCTTCCATGGTGATCTGGCAGAATAAGAAAAAATTGACGAAGGATAAACACAGGCTGAAGGTCACCTAAGCTGGAGGAGCAGGAGATTTACCCTGAGAGGAATGAGGCAGACAGGGAGCTGGGTCTAGGACTCAGGAGGACAGGGTAAGTGGAGTCAGCACTGTGGTTTCACTCAATGTCATCCTTCACAAAGACACTGCAAAGCAGGTCGGGTCTTCTATGTCACTACCACTGAGGGTGCCTGTTTGCTTTCCTCATCGGTGAGTGCATCTCATCAAGAGTCTCTGACATAGTAAAGAATGATGTAGCCCCATTCTCAGCTCATCTATGCGGATGCCTTTCTTCATAGAGGTGTCAGGCATTCAGGTGCTTACCGAACAGAAAGAAGAGATCCTTGAAACCCACAATGCTCTAGAAACAGAAGTCTCAGAACATGAACTTGGACAATGTGGTAGTATGATCATAGAAGCTGATACATGCCAGAAGAGACTTGAATAAAGATAATATACTCAAGAAATAGCCAGAAGGGATAGTGCATCAGTAGACAAAGATGAAGGAATGCTTCACATTTGAACTTGGCTACCAAAAGCTTCAACAGCAGAGTACAGAAGGGCCTGGACAGCATATAGCAAATGAAGGGGGCAAAAACATGGAAATATGTCAGCTACCTTACTGAGGAAAGTTGATCTGTTCACATCTTAGTTGCATCCTGCAAGTTCTTTAGTTCTTCGTATGCAAATTGGAGAAGATAAGAAAAGATTTTGAGAATATATTAATAGAAGAGAGGGAACATGTATTTACTAAATGCAAATAAGTTGTCAAGCACCATTCTGGATACTTTACACATATTATCATATTTAATCTCATGAGATAGGCACTCTGATTATCTTTATTTTGCAAAAGAAGGAATGAGGCTCACCAAGGCAAATAACTTGCTCTAGGTGTGAATGGAAGTGCTGGCATTCAAACCCCACCATTTCTGTCTCCTCAGTTCACAATGTGTCTTAAACAAGCTGACCAATGATTTAATGAAGGAAAAATATAAAAGTAAATAAGCCAAGTACAGAAAGTCAATGACTATATAATCTCACTTATATATGGAACAGAACACAGCTTCATAGAAGCAGGTGGTAAGACAATAGATAGTAGAGGCTGGAGAAGGTAGTGGCAAGTAGTAGACAAGAAAGGTTGGTCAATGGAAATAAAATTAGAGTTATTAGGAGCAAGTCCGGGTGTTCTATTGCACTGCAGGGTAATTATAGTCCGTAGTAATGAATTCTCTCCTTCCAAGTAGCTGGAAAAGATTTTGCATATTTCACAACAAAGAAACAATTAAGTATTTGAGGTGGTAGATATGCTAGTTCTTCCCATTTGATCTTTACACAATGTACATAGGTAGCAAAATATCATATCCCTTAAATTTTTATAATTATATGTCAGGTAAAAATAAAATAAGAAAATTTATGAAAGAAATAGCAGTCCTTGACATGACAGAAACAACATGCACTTAAATGATCATGAATGTGGGTTTAGCAGATCCAGCAGCACATTTGGTTAGTGTAGAGTACTCCTATGAGTATGGATCTAATATTTTAAGTTCTTTATTTGTATTTGAATGTCTTTTCTGTCAATGTGGATTGAACACTGACTGCAATTCTGCTATAATTCTTATTCTGGGACGTTCCCACAATACACATAAAAAATGTAAATAGAGAAAAATAGTATCGTTTTATCTGCTGTTTGTTTTCCACAGTTGTAGTTACCTGTGATCACCTGTGTTCCAAACATATTAAATAGAAAACTCCAGAAATAAACAATTTAAGTTTTAAATTGCATACAATTCTGAGTGGCATAATAAAACTTATACCATCTCATTCCCTTCTTAATGAAATATGAATCGTCTGTCTGTGCAGTGTATCCACACTGTAAATGCTGTCAACCCATTAGTTTGCTTAGTCATCTTCAGTTACTAGATGGATCACCATATTGCAATGCTTCATTTAAGTAGCCCTTACATTGCATCCTGATCATATGTTATCCTGCCACTGCGTTTGCCTCATTTGTATGATTATATAGGCATTCTATCACTTCACATACTCATGAAGGTGTTAATACAGTACAATAAGAAAGAGTGACTACATGCCCATAACGTTTCTTGTAGTATATTGCTAAATGCTTCAAATTTAATTTGGTGTGGTTAACCGCTTGTTTTTCATGGTTTATACACTAAATTTTATCACATGAATGTATGAAGAGGAAAAAAATGTTCATAGTAAAGGCTCTGAACTATCTGTAGTTTCAGGCATCCACCAAAAATCTTGGAACATTTCCTCCGGGGATAGGAGAGGACCATATTTGCTTTGGAAGAAGATGGACTTTTAAGGAAAGAAAAACACACAAGCAAACAAGAAGACTATGGTGTACTATGAGGTAATAGAGTGAAACTAACCAAAAGCCTGGTACATGGTCAGAATAGGAAAAGACTCAAGTGAGTCACAGCAGAAAAGGCTTTCCAGAAGTAGCTGTCCTTTGATCTTCCTGTGGGAAACAGTTTCTCGCATTGGTATGTGGCTTTTCTTCTGAGAAGATGTAAACATTTGGCTGCTTATTAGTGTTTTGAAATGCATTCCTTTCTTTTAGTGACACATTGGGAAACCAAAGCAACATGGTGGAGTCAAGTCCCCGGGCTTGAGGTCTACTTCTGCTGCTCACTAACCGAATGTGGGAAGGCATCCAATTTCCTTAAGTCTGCATTCCTTCATCTCCTAACTGGAAATTATGGTACCTAAAATGATGAGGCCATTAGGAGAATAAATGAAATCATGCTGTCTCATAATGGGATCAGCACTGGGCTCAACTCAGATACTAAGCCAACCTTAGCATCTATTTCTTAGCTCTGACCTATCACAAAGACCGCCTACTGTGAATTTAGTCAGTTACAGAGGATTAGGGCTTAATCTGTCTATATCACCAAAACTAATTATTTTTTTAAGGCACTCACTAAACCTTATTTTGGCTTATGAGTAGAAATATATCTATAACATCTGTCTTAAGTTTGAAGAATTAGTGGTCACATTCAAATGAACAATGGAAATTATAATGCTTTCAGGGTAAAATGATTGCTGACCGTAAGTAAAAACATTTATTTTGCTGAGATTGAATTTACCTATGCTAAATCATTCTTAGTTCTTATCCCTAAAATGAGATATTGGCATCCAGAAAGCTACCTTAACTGAGCAAATGACAGCATTAAGGTCAGCCTGGAAAGTGGAGATTAATCCAAGTCAGTGAAACACTGTGGAGGGCCACGGCCAAATGAGGACAATAAATGTCACAGTACAGATTAAAAATGAAATTAATCTAGGTGAGTCAAACTGAATCTCTATTTTTCTTAAAATTCCAAGGCATGATCATAAATTTGGATGACAAATTTTTGGAGGTGAAGAAAATTGGTACCCAATGGTAGAAACTGATCTTAAGAAAAAGTGGTACTTAAAGGAAAAAAGAGTAGAAGTTGTCAAGCTTGTATAAAATAGTACATTTTGTCTTTCGTTTTTTAAAGATTCATATTTATTATTTCTAATTATGTGTATGTGAGTATAGGTACCCATAGATTCCAGAAGCAGTTGAAATCAACTGGAACTGG